GTTCAGCAGTTCTTACCTCGCAGGATATTGCAAATCATGGTAGATTAACATTTGCATAGTGTTTTAGTGCTCATCAAAGACAGGGCTTAAAGAAACATAAAGGTATTGCCACGGAGCCAGGACTGAACCCGAGTCAGGCTCCGGATATGAGCATCTGGAAATTTTGATGTTATTTTGCTCTGGGACTCCTGAGAATACTTAGCTGAAATATTTCCTTTCTATTCCTGAGATAAATACGCCTGTAGTAGTGGTTGTGAGATGAAGGGAAACACTGTTGCTTTTATGACAGTTATCTAGATGTCAGAGCTATGGGTTAAAACCAGCAACTGGATTCACTCAGTGAATCCTCACAGAGGCATTTTGATAACCTCTGCTCCCAGTCCATCCCCCCTTCTCCCTTGAACTGTAAATACCATGTCAGTGTTTTTCAATACAGGCTTTGGATTCTCTTCTAACCTCTTCTTCCACAAACTCACGCAAGCCAGCAGGCTTCTTTGGTTGCTGCTCTAATGAGCAGAGTGGCACCATTCAGGGAATGCATTCAACGTGTTGAACAAATATAAAGCCAGACACACTCTGCCCGTCTGTAACCCCTTTGAGCTTCCTTGTTTAAGAAGCAGTCTGAGTCTTCTGTGGGCTGCCTTAGCCCAGTTTAGTTCTGCAGACCTGGCTGGGTCTTGGTCCTCTGTCACGAGAGCCCCAGCACATATTCTGTTCACCTGGCAGCTGGCTGAACTCAGCGTGGAGTGCAACCAACCCTCAATTCCCTTTGAAGAGCATCATGCTTTTTCCTCCAGCTTCTGGCTCCCAAGAAAGTCTACATTCAAAATACAAACACAAACCATATAGCCATATCCCTATATGTCTATATTACTCATGAACTGGTTGCTTCTCCCTCTCCCAGCAGTCATTGAGCTGGAAGTGTGTACAACATCCATAAGCAGAGACCATAACGCACCCCAGGAGCTGCTACATAAATAATCCCATGTTGCTGGCTGCTAAGAAGCAGAGACCAGTGACCACAAGAGGAGAGGAGGAGACACGGTGGCAGGATGGGCCCAAAGCTCAGCTCTGCTGATGGGTTCCTGCTTAGACCTGGGAAGCAGAGCTGGCTTTGGTTTAGAGGCCGAGTGTCCTGGCTGACCTCGGGACCTGCCTGAGAGGAGTGACACTGAGCTGAAGGGATTTTGCATTTCCCCTGCTTCAGGGCAGTGTCTCACCTTCAGCACAGCCCTTGCAAACACTGTGGTGCTTGTTCCTCTGCAGCTGAGAGTCTCCCACCGTTCATGTGCTCATTAAGATTTCACAACAGCTCTTGACAGCTCTTTCTCTTCCATCACCTGATGGCTCCTCAGCCATTATTAAATACTGAGATGCGCTGCACAAAACGTTCATTTAGGGCAGCCAAAAGCAGCTTTGGGCCCAGGGAAAAAGAAAATGTTTGGGCTTCACCTTACTCCAAAGTCCTCAGTGCTTCCCCCCCCCCTCCTGCCATGCTGTCCTTCTCTCTCCTCGAGCAAGAATTTCTTCCAGCATCCATAAACAGACTTTATAGAGCAGAAAGACTCTCATTGACTGCATGTGTCTGTTCCTTGAGGGCTGCTACCCTAATTGCTTAAGTAATTCTTCCAGCTGATGGATGACAGCACAGACAGTGGGAAGGACACCAGGTCAAGGTGTCTGTTCACTTGTTAGGGCTTCAGAGAGCATCCTCAGCTGTGCCCAGGCAGGCTGGTTAGTTTGGACCATTTATCTTCTTGCAAAAGTTCCATAACACATTTTTTGTTTATTTGGATTTGTTTTGTTTAGTGTTTTTTTTTTTTTTCTCTTGTTTTTCTTCCACTTGCCAAATAATCCAGTTGGATTTTCAACACCAAACTCCACCCTGCTGGACTCATTTATGGACAGCCTATAATTTGTGATACTTGTGACCCTGGTCTTCTGCAGGGCATAGAGGTTTTCCCACTGGTTTCCCTCTCCATGAATATGTGTGTGAGCAGAAATCACTTTATGGTTATTCCCAGAAAGCAGGAGCAGTTGTGAGTTCATGGCAATGATGTGAATGAGCCTTTGCATAATTGAGTGCCAGAGTTGAAAGCCCAGTGCCCTGGTTCATATTCTCTGGTGTAAGTCCAGAGTAGCTCCAATGGTCTGGGTTAAGCTTGGGCTCTGAATGCTGAGCTCTGAATTATTTGAGGCCTGATTCTGCATTTTAGGAAACGAGCCTGTGTGTGCACTGTCTGTCCTTGTGTCTCTGCTTGCTCTCAGCATACTGCTGTCATCAGCACCAGCCCTGCAGCAAGACATTTTCTATCAGCAGCTGACGACTAGTCTGGAATTTGCAATTGTTTGGAGCACTCTGTATGCACATGGGATTTGAGAACTACAACACATATCGTGCTTTGGGCTTTTCTTTTGTTTTGTTTTGGGCTTCTTTGTTGTTTTTTTTTTTTTTTTCTTCTACTAAACACAAAGACAGCTTCCTCTTTAGGAATTTGAGCTTCACATCCCAGTGGGCATGTTTTAATTCACTAAAAGGAGCTCTCTTTCCATTCTGCCGTGGCAGGCAGATGAAGTGCAGATCTGCCCAAAGTGCTGCTGTCTCCCAGTCATCAGTGAAGAACAGAATGGAGAGAAATTCAGACTGGTACAAATCACTATCTAGCATCACAAAGCTTATTTGAATCTTAGGTGTTTTCACTTATTGTGACCAGTCTTTCTGTCATTCATGTGTTTGCCAGTTAGCCAGGACAGCTCTGCAGAGCCAGGCTGTGGTTGGGTCACCTCTGCACAAGGATGCAGGAAGAACAGAGTCCCTTTCAAGCTACCCTCATCTGTCCTCACTCACATCAGTTTGGTTATTGCTTCTGCTTAGGGGTTGGTTTTGTGGTTTTTGGTGGTATTTTTTGTGGCTTGTGGCCATCAGAGTGGCTGAGGGTCTTTGTGGTCTTGGCAAGAAGGAAACCTGGAGAAGAAGCCCTTGTGGTGCAGCCCCCTGCACACCTTGCAGTGGTTGTGCTGCCCAGTGCCTGGCATTTGGAGTAATGTTCATGCATCTTCTGCACCCACTAGTGTTCTTCAGCCCTGAGGAACAGGGGAAGGGTGAAAGGACGTTGCTAGAGCTTCTCCTCCTGTCACACAGTGTGTGTGGGTTGTGGGGGAGCTGAGCAAAGCTGAGTATGAAGTGAAGGAAAGGAGTTAACCCTGGCAGTGGTCCCACTCAGGACACTGGGCTTAGAGGTCAGAGGTTTTTTAGGTCTGTGGGACCACATATGGAGCTTGTGAAATCTGGTATCTCTGCAAGACTTAAAAATGGAGCAGGGGAGAAATATTGCTGGGGGTAAAGTGTTGGAATGTGGATTTTGCTGCCTCTGCCTGTGTGAGAGCCTATGGTCAGAGGTGGGCAGCAGGCACATAATCAGGTGGAGCAGGAGTGGGGTGACAATCCTCACTCCTCAGCCCGTGCCAGAAGAGGAGAAAGCTGCATCCCACCTGGGGTGAGGTTTTCCAGGGCTGGGGGGTTGATGTCCAACACTGCAGCCTGCCATACTAATGTGCTCATCCATTTTCCCCCTGGAGACCAGCAGTGGGTTCCATCAATCTGCCTAGCTCCCCCAAAACTTACCTGCTTCCCCAGGGCAGTGGTGGAGTCCCCATCCCTGGAGGGATTTAAAAACCATGGAGATGTGGTGTGAGGGGCACGGGTCAGTGGGGACCTGGCAGTGCTGGGTTAACAGTTGGGCTAACAATCTTAAAAGTCTTTTCCAACCAAAATGGTTCTACTTTGTCCTTCCCTTGAGTCACCCTTTGCTCTCTCTTGTCATCCCTGTGCAGATCCTGACGGGGGAGGACTGGAACGCGGTGATGTACCACGGGATCGAGTCGCAGGGCGGAGTCCGCTCGGGGATGTTCTCCTCCATTTACTTCATCGTCCTGACCTTGTTTGGTAACTGTATCCTTGTGCACTGCATTACACAGCCTTCCTGGGGTGCTAGAAAGAGCTTTTTTTAAGAAAAAAATCTCACACCCTTCTACTTTTTGAAACCAAATCATTGCTGTAACTTTGCTCCTTCCAGCGCCTGGGGTAAGAGGTAAGTTGTCCACCCTGGTGTCTCTTTTCAATGGCAATGGAGTCTTCATGCCTTTTAATTTTCATGTTTCCCTTAAGGATGTCTTATTACGAGTTAATTTATGTTGTGGGGAAAAATGATTGAAGTTGAGTCAGAGCAGGATTTCTACACCTTGATTAACTTCACAGATAGTTTGCACTAGTTCTGATGGTGGAGCTGCTAACAGGCTGAAGTTGTGTAGCACTGCTCACCATAACCAGCTACAAAATTGGTGGTATGAGATGTTTGCTGGCTGCAGCAACGAGCTGTGTGGAGTGAAACAGAGCACCCTTAAAAATGGAACCTTAAAAACCTATTGCATGTATGAATTAACTTGGCTGGTTGATTTGTTCTGTAAAATAAGGATAACAATGCTGAGCGTTGCTTCTCTGCTCGAGACCTCTCTGGAGAGTTTCCCAGCAGTGTGAACCTTCTTGCTGGTGGCAGTCCCAGCGTTCCACTTTTCCTAGGAGCCCTGTTTGGGCTGGCAGTTTTGGCTGGGTGCCTAGGAGAAAGGGGAAGGTATGTGGGTGGCAATGTTTGGGCTGAAGACACAGTTGTTATAGATACGGAGCCCTTCAGCTGGCCGTCAGCATGACAAGAGGGGAGATGTGAGCACCCATGGGCTGCATGGCAGGGCTTGGGTCCTTTCATTTGCCTGAAACCTCCCCAGCAGCACAAGAAGGGCATGGTGGAGCAGGGAGTGGGTGACCTGTGCTTGTCACACAAGTGTCTGTCTGTAGGATTTGTCCCATCACTGTGCTGTGGGAGCCAGAGCAGCCGGGATGCCTGAGCTGGCTCAGCAGCTACGCTCGTGGTGGGCAACTTGCCCCCTTCCAGAAACACAAGGCTTTGGAAAACTGGGTCAATAGAAGAGCTGTGAGAGAGGGAGATCTCTAAATCCTCAGGCTTGGCATTTGAAAATGAGATTAAGCTATAATCAGGCTTGACAGCAGAGCTGAGAGAGAGACTTTTAACCTTAGAGTGGCTAAGATCCAGCAGTTTTTTGAGGAACAGGGTATAAATTCCCTTCTTGCCAGGAAGAGGATGTTTCTTCCTTGTCCTTTGGTTTTCATTAAAAGGGAAAGAAAGGGGGTGTGTTCAAGAGGAGAGAATAAGGACCTGGTTCACCTCTTGCCACAGAGCTGGTATTTGCCTCTGTTGCCCTGGCAGAGCAGTGAACTAGAACAGGTTGTCCAGCGAAGTTGTGGATGCTCTATCCCTGCAAATGTACAAGGCCAGGTTGGCTGGGGCTTTGAGCAACCTGGTGTAGTGGGAGATGTCCCTGCTCATGGCAGGGTTAGAACTAGGTGATCTTTAAGATCACTTTCAACCCAAACCATTCTACGATCCTACAATGACAAAGAGTAACAACACCCAGAAACCCTTTGATGATGCCCTATAAGACTTCTTTCACCAGCTTCTAGTGATCAGAGCTATAAACCTGAAGTAAATCTATTAATTCCCATGGAGATGTACACCCCTGTTAGAGAATTAGAGATGTGGCCTGGAATGTCTCTGTAGAAACTTAGGCTGAAAGCATCAGCTGCTTCAACATAGGTCTTGCAAAAACATTTCCTGCGTCACACATAGACCTGTTTGCCTTCAAGCACCATGGGCTGGACTGCCTGGTGGAAAGTGAGGGTTTAAATCTTTTCCTTGTCTGTTTACCATGGGAATTGCAGCAGTAAGCCCACTAATGCTTGTGCTGATATCTGAAATGGGATTTCAGTAAGGTCAGTGCAACCCCTGATTTTCATGAGCTGCAGTTTTGATGTCGAGAGCAAGCAGCAGACAGTCATTTTTCTCTGAGGGAAAGCTGAACTCTGTGACTTAGCAGGATCTTAAGTTATCATTAACTGTCAAAACATAACCAGGAACATCTGAAAATAAAGTTTAGTTTGCCAGAAGAGAACAGTTCTGTGTTTTTGCAGGAAATAATATAGTCATTAATGTCCACGATGCTGCAGTGCCCCAGCAAAGTTAAGGACAGGAGGGTGAATGGAGTGAGGGATGTGTCTGAGCCTTGGGCTCACCTTCCCAAGGAGAGCCCCACAGCCCAGCAAACACTCAGAGGATGCCCTAGAGAGAGCAGTCCAAGTTGATGAGTCGCTTAACTCTACATGAATTATAATATGAATTGTCTTTTCTGCTCTAAGTTGGGACTTCATAAAGATCTCCCTCCACTGCCTTAAAGAACTGCCCCCAAAAAGCTTTAAAAATGTACTTTTTTAGTGCAATGGATTTTTTTTTCATTGCTTAGGTGTAGATTTGCCACCAGCCTTCCCCATGTGTTCACTGCAGCTGATTTTTTTCTTAAATGAGAATTTTTGTTTTTATTTTTTTATATCATTACTGTTGAAATCAGTCCAAACCCTTCTGGATGCTGATCAGCAAAAAGCACTTTAGTTCCTCTGCTGGGAGGGGGTTTATTTGCAGTTTTTGAACAATGGCATTTGGTGAGTCCATTTTTGAGAGCTTAGGTAGACTGGATCAAGCTTTGTTAGAGAGTTTGCATTGGCAGTTTTGCACTGGCTTGGAAAACCTGCTCTTTTTAAACATGAGGAGCTCCTTTCTTCTCCTGGAGCTGCTCAGGGCATTGTGATAGCTCTTTTTTCATGAAGAAGAAAGGTGAGTGGGTGGGTGCTGGCTTCCCCTGCTTCTCACTGTAGCTCAGTGGTATCTCTGAATCCATTTACTTTTTTTCAAGGGACTATTGCAAGGAAAAAAAAAAATGCAGAAACTTTGGTTTTGTAACTTGGAAGCCTCTCATGTTATGCTCCCAGTTCCAGAGGGTCTGTGTGGAACCAGATCTCCACATCTGAAAAGGTTTAGTGAAAGTGGTATGATTAGAGTAACAGCAGGGTTTGGCCCATTTTCTAGGAAATTACACCATGCCTGCACTCATTGTTATCCAGTTAATTGGTAAATTGAAGCATCTGTCGAGGGGAAAAAAAAATTAAAAAAAGGAAAAAAACCCAAACCCCATGAAAAGCTACAGAGGAGCCTGAAATGGGAGCAGCAAATGCCTGGAGCCCACTGTCCTTCCCCTGGCTTTCAGCTGCCATGCAGGAGGGTTGTACTTGGCACCATTCACAGACTCAGCTGCCCAGTGAGGTCCTGGGTCTGGCCAGGTTCTACAGCCAGGGCCAGGGGTTGGAGTTTGGGTGATATTTGAGGATCTCTGAGCTCTAGAGAAAGGGCTGCAGGACCTTTTTGGGGGCAGAGGCAGCCAAGTCTGCCAGGCTGTCTGCTTGAAGGCAGTCAAAACAGCCTGATCTGTTAAAAAAAAAATTAAAATTAATTATATTTCCAGTGGTTGATTATGTTACACGAGACATTTTCAGAATGTGTGTGTAGGAGGCAGGGGTAGGAAGACAGATTTATTGCTGAGACATTTATTCCAAAAGCAGGAGGCTTGGAAGTGGTTCCAACATGTTGGAAGCACCCAAAAGGAAGAAACCCAAATGGTTGGCACCTTGGCAGTGCCACGGGCAGGGGTGGCCTGGCCTCCCTGCCTGCACCCCAACCCCCTCTTGCCAGCCTTTGGTTAAAAGGACACAGGGAAAGTGATGTCTTTGCAAATGAAAAGTTGATTGAGCTCTGCCTCCAGCGTGGGAGGGATGTGAACATTTCAGCCTCATCTTTCCCTCCTTCCTGTCCTGTATCTGCTGGGCTCACTGGGATCCAAGTGCTCCCACCCTGTGCTCCTCACTGTCCTCCTGAAATGGAGAAAGGAGCAATTGATGGGCATCACGTTTCAAACCTGTCTGTCCTAGAGGAATCATTTTCACATGATAAAAAACTTCATCCTGTGTTATGTGACATGGAGAAAAGCTGATGGATGGACTGGCCTTTGCCTGGAGAAGCCCTGGGGCTCTGCATCCCATCCCCTCCAGGGTCTGGCATTCAGGATGCAGATGCATCCTAAAAGATTAAGTACAGTCCCTGCTCTCCACTGTCACAAGCAGAAGCTCTAGTTTTGAACAGACATTGATCCTTTGGAGACATTCATCTCAATGGGAATTAGAGATGTGAACATCTGGTTCTGAAGTCTTGGCTGAATTAAATCTCTTGAGAGGAAAAGCAAAGAGTACTTGAGCTGATTGTTCAGGCTGACGTTGATCCTTGGTTGCCCTGGGAAGTCTCCTGATGTCTGCCAGCATGGGGCAAAGGCTCCACAGCCACCAGTGCCTGCAGCCAGCCTGCTGCCCACAGGCTGCTGGAGCACTGGGGTTTCAGAATCATAGAATGGTTTGGGTGGGAAGGGACCTTCAAAGCTCATATAGTCCAATGCCCTGCAGGGACAGGGACATCTGCAGCTAGAGCAGGGTGCTCAGAGCCCCGGCCAACCTCACCTGGAATGGCTCCAGGGATGGGGCAGCGACCACCTCTCTGGGCAGCCTGGGCCAGGGGCTCACCACCCTCAGTGTCAAAAATTTCTTCCTTCTCTCTAGTCTAAATCTGCCTCTTTTAATTTAAAACCATCATCCCTTGTCCTGTCACAGCACACCCTGCTGAAAAGTCCCTCCCCAACTTCCCTGTAAGCCCCCTTGAAGTCCTGGAAGGCCACCAGAAGGTCTCCCCAGAGCCTTCTCCTCTCCAGGCTGAACAAGCCCAACTCTCTCAGCCTGGTTTCCCAGCAGAGGGGTTCCACCCTCGCATCTTTGTTGTGATCATTTGTGCTGCTAAAGCTTTTGTGAATCTCTAGAGGGTAAATCCTTCTAAGGTCAACTTCATTCTCATGTACATCCATATTCAGAGGAACAATCAGAACTTTACACAGCTATGGAGTGAGGGACTCTCCTGGCTCCAGGCAATGTGCAAGAGCAAAATGTTCTTCTTGGAATGAAAACATTTTCTTCTTGGAGAGTAGTTTAGACTGGGTTTTGCTTTGCTTTCTCTCCTTTCATATGCAAAGGTATCTGATTTACAGTTGTTTTGGGGCTGTTTTGAAGACACAGAGTTGGGATAACAACAATAAAATATAGGAAGGGACAAGCTGCAGCAGAAATCATTAAGTGGAAAAATGAAAACAAAAGAGGAATAAATAATTATAGGGAAATGTTGTGTCTTAATGATATAACACAGTGCTCTGCAGAGAGACCCAGGCTAGTGTGGGCACCAGCAGTTGTTTAGCTGGGCTGGGTGTAATTTGGGCTGGACTAATGGGCAGAGCTCATTAGGTCGGGCCGGGTGTCCTGCTAACAGGCTCTGCTGTAGCTGTGCCCCGTGTGGTGCTGCAGCACTCAGGCAGGAGATGGCCACAGCTCTCTAATAGTCCTGTCGACTTCAGAGTGATAAGCCATGAGAGTTTCCCCCCACTGGTGTGCAATGCAGCAGTGACCTAAGCTCAACTTCCTCATGGTGCCCAACACCTTTCTGTAGCTGTATGTATATATTATGCAAATGTTGCCTTTAAAGTGACTGATTTCCAGCAGCTCTACCAGTCGTCCTTTTAAACAAGAGGCAAAAATGAAGGTGAAAGCCTCTGTGTGTGGATGGGCAGGAGGGTAAATGTGGATTTTCTGGAGAATAAAAACTGCTGTGTCTCTGGGACCACCATACTGGTTGCACCCATAGTGCTCTAAAGCCCATCTGCTCAGCTCGTGTGTGTATCCTCACCAGGGGTATGTGCTGGGCAAGAGAAAAATGAGAGTCACAGAAATGACTAGAAGGCTGGAGCAGCTCTCACGAAGACAGGCTGGGAGAGTTGGGGCTGTTCAGCCTGGAGATGAGAAGGCTCCAGGGAGACCTTACAACGACCTTCCAGTACCTGAGAGGGGCCTACAAGAAAGCAGGGGAAGGACTGTCCACAAGGGTTTGTAGTGACAGGACGAGGGGTAATGGCTTTAAGCTAGAAAAGGGCAGATTTGGGTTAGACATTAGGCAAAAGTTCTCTAATGTGAAGGTGGTTGATCACTGGAACACGCTGCCCAGAGAGGTGGTGGAGGCTCCATCCCTGGAGACATTCAAGGTCAGGCTTGATGAGGCTCTAAGCAGCCTGACCTAGTTGGAGATGTCCCTGCTTATGGCTGGGGGATTGGACTAGATGACCTTTGGAGGACCCTTCCAACCCACTACATTCTATGATTCTATGACAAATGGGTGTCCAGCACCTGCTGTGCTGCAGAGCTGGCTCATGGCTTAGGTGGGTGACATAGAAGTGAAGACAACAGTGGTGGTGCAAGGGGTCAATCCGTGATATACTGGTGGATCTAAGTGGGGAAACAAGGGCAGTGGCAGCAGAAGGGGAACAGTTTCCTGTACCTGCCCAGTGAAGATTTCTTCCTTAGCTGCTCCCCAAAAAGATACACTCCTGAATGTCTTCTTGGCTATCGCCGTTGACAATCTGGCAAATGCCCAAGAGCTGACCAAGGTAGGTACCAGATTTCTGTGTCTCCAAACTTAGCCCACAGCTGCTGGGTCTGAAGCACATGCTACTGACCCTCCCGGGCACCCTGAGGTTTCCTCTAGAGCCTGTTCCTGCAGTATCTCTGCTTACCAGTCTGTGTTGCAGAAAGGGACCTGGAATTTTATTCTTGTTGAGGTTTGTTTCATTTCAGTTTTGTTTTCAGTGAACTCTTTTGTCTTCTTCAGTTTTATTTCATCACGGAGCAGGCAGAGGTGCAGTTATTTTATCACCAAGGTGCACAGGCACTGGTAACATCTGCTGTTTTCAAGAGCAGAGGTGAAGAAGTGAAAGGATTTGGGCTGACTTGAAGCTTAGAGGTGGGGAAATGCAGGTGGTGTGTTGCTGTTTCTGCTGTCTCACACTGATGTTCCATACCATGCTCAGTTTGGGGAAGAATCAAAGAATTCACCTCCTCCAATCAGCTCCCTGGAAAGCAACTTGCAGAGAGTATTGTGAAGAGGTTATCATCTTCCTGCCCCTCACCAGGGGCAAGAGAAAGCTGAGGCACCAGCCCAGGCACAGGCAGCAAGCCAGGTCCTGGCAAGAGATGGAAATGACACCGATGGACCTTTACTGTATGCACAGATTTATACTGGAGCATCCCCTACAGAGCCAATCTCACAGCCTCACAAGTGCTGCAGTCTGTATTTTCACTATTACCTACTTTTGATTTCTTATTGTAACATCCTCAGTTGTATTTCTGAGGTGGCACCAGATTTTGCTTGCATGTTTCTGGCTGGTTCTCACCGAGTGGGTGCAGACCTGCACATCCCCATTGCTGTGCTGCTGCCATAGCCACAAGTCACAGCTGGTGGCAAGAGAAGCCCCGTATCCACCTCAGCAGTTGTGTTCCTCAGGCTTTAGCTTACCTCCTCCTTGTTGGGTAAGGGGTGGGCAGGGATGTTTTCTCTTTCTGGAGTGCAGTAGTTTGTGGCTATATGACGCACAACTCTGCAGTTTGGGGACATGGAGATTTCTAGGAGTCTCCTGCCCCACTCCAGCTGCTGAAGGCCAAGGCAGCCAACTGGTCCCAGTCAAAATCCACATCTCTGTGCAGCTGAGCTTGTCTTTACCAGCTCTCCTTTTATGCTGTGGAGCTGTGTGACTGGCTTCAGCTTCTAGCTTTGACTGGAACCTTCTTTTCTAGCAGTTAACACCCAGTACAAAGTGGCTGGTGGCTCTTAAGTGTGTAATAAATGTTCCCATGTCTTTGAGACCATGTTCTGCATCCCTGCTCTCTTATAATACAGCTCAGGACTGTTTGGTTGTTTTGTTTCTTTTTTTTCTGGGAAGTTTTTCCCTTATAGCAGCTCAGCTCTTTCTGTTCTTCCTAAAGGCCACAGAAATCTCCAGCCAAGAGGCACCATCCTCCCAGCATGTTCAGGATATTTAGGAGCATCCCTTGCATGTGCTAAGAGAGAGGATCAGGCCAGCACAATTCCTGGATAATGAATCTCATTTCTTTTGTAATCCTTCTAGTACTTTTCTTGTGAATGTTTCTGTAGTTGACAAGGGACAGTTAGAAACCAGACTTTGCTGATGTTTGTAAAGTATAACTGAACATTGATGGATTCAGCAGCATTGCCAAATCATAAAGTTTCTTGAGAAACTCTTTTTTGCTTTAATTTATTCACGCCCCCAGATCACTAAGGCTTTCAAAAGAAAAAGACAAAAGTAATTTAATTATATAGCATACCTGGAGAATAAGAGATTTACTGCTAAGTAAATATGATCTTGCAAAACCAAAAATGGCCTGGAGATACAATGAAGTTACTCAGGAGTCAGTTGATCTCAGGAGACTTCCTTGACATTTATGCTGTAAAGCTAATGGAGCTCGGTGCTGAATATAATGTGGGAAAACCAGCAGCAGCTTGGAACTGTCTCTTTTGGAAAGAGAAATCTTCCCAGGAAACCTCCAGGACTGAGACATCATAACCAGCGTTTCCACTCCTGGATGTTAATTGGGATTTATTTTATTATGGCATTTGAACGTTTCTTGCAGCCTTAGCTGGGCCTTGTGACCTCTGACAGAAGTGATCAGAGTTGTAACTATATTTAACTTGAGCCTGATCATCTGATGTCACATCCTGTTACAAAATCAGCAGTGCTTTGGAATGACTCATTTTGGGGTTAAAAAAAACCCAACACACCACCTCCTTTGCTTTGGGTATATAAAGAATATGTTCTCCAGCCTCTGCCTCTCTCTCCCCTGGTCTCTCCCCTCATTTTCCTGTGCTGGCTTTGCCTTACCACTGGCTTAAACTCTGCCAGCTTAAGTTCTAGTGATTTCTCAGAACTGTCCTGAATCTCTTCTGGTTGCCTACCTTCTATTTTTTTTCCATATATTGGCAGGATTTCTTTCTTTTCACTTCGTCAGAGCAGAAACTCAAGTTATCCCCAAGATTCATTTTCAAAATCTTCTCTCTGCTGACCATCCCACAGCATCTCTGGTGACACACAGCAGTTTGTTCTTCATCCTTGTTGAAGTGACCCTTAATTTTCCTAAGCATCCTAAAACACAAAGTGTGTTCTCTGCTCCCAGAGCACTGCCAGCAACCCCTGAGAAAGCAGTATAAAATCAGGCCATGAGGGATAGGAGAGTTACGTGAATTTTACACAAAAATATATTAAAAAAATTGAGAAATCACCAGAAATAATGGATTAAATGAGCAGCAAAACCAAGGATCTAACAGCCACGAAGATGCCTCCTCCTCCTTCCCAATGGAGAGGGCTTTGATTGTGTGAACTTCATGAAGAGCTCTCAGTATTAACTATGCCCATCATGATGGGTAGCACCAAAGATGGGTTTTGCCATGTGATAAACCATGAAGTCATCTTCAGTGAAGATGAAAAGCTCTAGAAAACAGAAAGGAAACATAAAAGAGAGATGTCCTTACAAGCATGGCTGTTATATGTACTTGCCCCTATATAACAATGGGACAGTCTGGATGGATGGATGGATGGATGGATGGATGGATGTTGCCATCACAGCTCAGAGCTGGCTTCAGCCATGCACTGTCACACTCCTCTGTGTGCTTCAAGCAGAACAAGATGAGCCTGTGCCCCAGTGAGACCTGGTAACATAAGTATCAGGCAAAAAAAATGCTTCAAGCAGAACAAGATGAGCCTGGGCCCCAGTGAGACCTGGTAGCATAAGTATCAGGCAAAAAAAATAATTAATTTTTGTAGTGATCTTCAATCTCTGGGTGGAAAGGAGCTGCAGAAAGATTATTGAGCAGTCATCTGCTAAAGAGTGTGCTTGTTCTGAGGTAGGGATGGCTGCTGCATTTATACTGATAAGGGACATTTTCTGCTGTTACTTTGGGAGATCAAATCCAGCAGAAATACTGATGCACCAGGGAGAATGTGGTTGAAGCTGCAAATTTTAAAAAGACAAGAACAACTGCACCTGGTGCTTTGGGTACACAGAAAAATCAGGAGTCTTTCAACGTGTGTGATTTTAACACTGTTAGAGAACCCTCAAGAGAAGAAGCAGCTTGAAGGTACCTGTGGAATGAAAGGAAATCCTTAAAAGCCTTTTTATTTGGGGGCCTTATTTTGCCAAAGATTCATGTTCTACAGATACCCTTGATTTACAGCAAGCCTCAAACCATTGATAAATTCACTGGAAGTTGGCAGTTGAGGCATATTGTTTCAGCAGGGCTTTTTTTCATGGCCTTTCTCAGGTTCTTCATTCACTACAGTAAGAATTTACCTGAAGATTTGCTACTATTTGGAAAGGGGAAAAAAATACTTGAGACTTAATTTGTAGCAAGTTTTTATTGACTAATTTTCTGTCATTTCTTTTTCCTTCTAAAGGAGAAAAGGAAAACAGTTTCAAAATGAGTTCAGTTTAAGCATACAACACCAAAGCCAGAGCAAGGACCTGTTTAAGCATATGGTATTCAGGATGGACAAGTCTACATGACCTGCTATTTCAAGCTAGATGTTTTACTGTCTGCTCTCATTATTTTAAGCATAACTATTTCCTTGTGTTACCTTTGTAGAGCAGAGGTAGAGCCATGGCATTTCATAAAGTTTGACAGAAGAGCCTGTGACTTGTGATCATTCCCTGGATATGTGTGGTGCTGACACTGTTGTCATGGGGCTGTGTTTATCTTGCCATGATTTTGCTGTCTAAATTGCCTGGCTGGAAAGTTCAAAGGAATTTTGACCTAGATGACCCAGACTGTTTCTTTGCCTTTTGCCCTCATCTTGTTGGTTAAGATGCTGTAGTCTGAATTTGAGCAGTGTTTCTCTTGTCATTACACCAGATAGGAGGAAATAAATCAGTTACACTCTGCAGGAACCTGCAATGCCAACAGGGGTTAAAAATCTACATGATCTGGGAGTACACAAAAAGCATCAACATAACCATCTTTCCAATCTGTACTTGAGTCTACAATGTGCTGATCTGGCTCCTCCTTTCTGTATTTGCCTGGTATGTCCACAGTGATTCAACTGAAATCAGTGGAAATATCTGGGCTAAAATTGGTGTGAGCAGGACCAGTCAAATCCAATGTTGTTTATCGGACTTACTGTTTCAGCAAAAAGTCACGTTGGCAAGAAGTCATGGAGGGTTTAGGAGTTTGTCTCAGATATTTCAGTAGGATGTAGGCTCCTTTAGAGTGTTTTTGTGCATGCAGGTCTGAGATAAACAGGGCTCACTTCACCCCAGATATGTCCCACTTGTGGTCAGGTCTCTCCCTGCCTTGCCAGAGTCTCCTACTCAAATGTGAAGTGATAAGAGGAGTCCCAAGACAGGCAAGAAAGCTTTGTGAAGGAGATGTAACCTTGGTAAAAATGCACATCTCAAACCGGGCTCACTTCACCCCAGATATGTCCCAATTGTGGTCAGGTCTCTCCCTGCCTTGCCAGAGTCTCCTACTCAAATGTGAAGTGATAAGAGGAGTCCCAAGACAGGCAAGAAAGCTTTGTGAAGGAAACCTTGGTAAAAATGCATGTCTCAAACCTTCCTTTTCCCATCTTGACCAGCTGTTGTTGGCACCAAGGCCCTACCCAGGGGTCCTTGTAAGAAGCTGTGAAATCCTGCCCTCACAGCAGGGCAGTGACAGTCCAGTGGGACCCAGGGAGCTCTGGCTGTTCTCATGACGTGATGCATGCTCTGATTTCTCTTGATTTTCTACACCAGGACGAGGAGGAGATGGAGGAAGCCACCAATCAAAAGCTCGCCCTGCAAAAGGCCAAGGAGGTGGCAGAAGTCAGCCCCATGTCTGCAGCAAACATTTCCATAGCAGCGTAAGCATTATCTTCCCTTCTGGGAGCTTCCCTGTTTGCTTTCTGCTTTCCAATGTCTTTATCTGTCTGTTCAAGTGGAGCATCCCATAGTACTCTGTGAGCCCTTTTCTGCCATCTCTGTTACTGACAGGGCTCTAGGTTGTCTGAACACTTCAGTTGCTGGTCATTTAACCATGAATTTAATTATTTCTTTTTGTTGGTTTTGTTTGTTTGTTGGTAATACCTCATCTTTAGCCTTGCTATAGAGAACTGCTTTTTTTAGAAGGCTTTTTTTTTTAAGCTGTCCTAGGATAGATTTCACCAGGTGAAGTGTTAACATTTCCCTTTGGATTTTTAATTATGAGAGTATGTGCATATATTGTATTAATTATCTTTAGTCATCTCTGCTTTGAGAACTTAAGTCTAAAGGCATCCTCCTAAATACCAGACTGAAAAATATGCTTGAATGCTCTTTCTTTGCTGTTTGAAAAATAAATATCATCATGGATGTGAACAGTCACTGGTTTGTAGCTAGAAATATTAATTTACATTTTCAGATGTAGGCTTTTCTGCATGGCTGTGGACGTATGCACAAAACGTTGCCTTGGAGCCCATCTTTTCCTATACACTGCTCTAAACTGAAGGGAAAAAATGATCTGTAGGTGGAAATACTTGTCCAGATGTTGCTGAGGTCACCTCAGAGTTCAGCCTGCACGGGATTATGAGCCTGTGTTTGAAGCGTGCCTGCCCTGCATGGCTTTATTGAAAAGTATGTTCTTCTTAATGTCTTCTGGAATTCTAGCATCAGGACTACCAGCATCAAAAAAAATTTGGTTGTGCATTTTACTGAGAGCTGCTGATGTTTTCCAGACCCCTTTTGCAGGGGAGGCTTTCAAAGGCTGGAGAGGCTCGAGCATAGAAGAAAAAAAACCCTGTTCAACTTTAATGCAAAGTATTTAATGCAGCAGGATCCCTGTTTGTTCTTTCAGTTTGCTCCTTCTCTTGAAGCTCTTCTCACTGGGGGTTTAATCCACTTCATCAAAGACAATAGGCCAAATGGAGCCAGTTCATTATATGTGTAGGAAAAGAATATTATTAATTTGACTGGTTTATTCTTACCATTTTGTTTTGCTGTTGCTGCTTTAATCAGCTCCTATTTATACTGTCTCTGTTTCTTGGTTTTAAATATAATCCTTTTCTTACAATGATTTCCTGTCCAGTCTTGAAAAGCAGTCAAATGAGGATACTTGCTCTTTGATGGATTTCCTGACACTATTATTTTAAAAAGCAAGATAATGATGCTTATTTTCTTCTTTTTTTTTAATCAATATGATTTTCCACCAGGCTTTCACCTGGTTTTCAGTATCACAGGGCCAGTTTTGTGACCACAATTGGAAGTGAGCACAAAATGTCAATAGGTTGATGACTGAATGGAAGATGACACGGAGGAGAAGGCAAGGGAGATGTTAGGTCTTCTGTGAGGCAGAAATAAGTGTGTGGATGGATTGCTGGCTCATGATCTGAAAGATATTTAATGAACACATGCCAGAGCAATTCATTTAATACACAGATACATGCACAGCCAACTCCAAAGGGAGCTGCTGCAGCTTCCAGCTTTGCGGCACCTCTCCCATAGACATCTCCAGTAGCGCTGAGGACAGGCACCCAAGGCTGACAGCCAGATGTCTCCTGTTCCTTCATTTCTTATGCTCTGGAGCTACACGGTGGTCCTGAAGATGGAGCATATGCTGTGTTGATGGCAAGACTTGTCAGATCAAGCCTCTGATGTGATCCAAAGCTGGACATGCCCAGCACTTTGTCATTCTTGCTGTTCTTGGAAACAGAGGTTTTGGTGTATGGAAATATCACCACAAAAAGCAGACACCTGGAGAGCTTGGATACCCCTACAGGAGTGGTGAGCAGGGGCTGGGAAAAACTGGGACTGAGATACCCAAGGCCTGCTGCAAAGATCAGTCTACCCTGTGTCAGTTTATGTTCTAATTTTCTCCAAAGAAATAAGTTTTTTTTTAGTTTCATAGTTTGATTTTACTTTCATAATGTATGAAAATGAATTCCTCCAACCACAGGCATCCATGGGATGGATCAATATTCTGAAATCATCAATGTTTTCCTCTACTTGCATGAATCAAACCAGGTCTCTCAGGTGTTAGCAGAGGGCACCATGACTTGCAGCTCCCCAGTCACGATGCTTGTGTTCCCGGCGTGCTTGTCCACCTCCCACAGAGGTGACAAAGCCATCCTGGGGATGACTCTGGTGAAAAGTCCTGTCTGTTGTTCTGCTGTTTCACCAGCAAAGTGCTGTGCTTGCTGTTTTGTTCCTTTCCCTTGTCAGTCCTACATCAAGGACTGAGTGTGTATCATCCCCTCAGCCTCCTTCCAGGCCATTCCATACTCTAGTGCTCTATCTGCTCCTCCACCTCTGGCATCTTTCCTGGGCAAGACTTGCACTCACCGTTGGTATGTTCCTGTCCCTGCAGTTCATCTGCACTGGTCCTTCTGCTCTCCTCTGCCATCCAAGGCTCTCTTCACAACTGAGCTCCAGGAAATGTTGAATTTCTTATATCAGTTGCAAAATGGCATCTCCTAGGCAGAAGAAATGGGCTGCTTCTTTAACGTGTCAGCCTGCTTGGAGAGCCCAAAGAGTCCTTCACATTTATACATGCAAGAGGCTGCTGCATGAGCCACTAAATCTCTTGTGGTTGATAGATGGTGAAGCACTATGGTGTCATGGGGATCTATTATAATGATATACCTGTTATTACAGTGGGGTTGAGATATCATCTGTCTTGCATCTGCCTCAGAGTGTTTTACTACAACGTTCTACCTACGTTTGGTTTGTAGCTCCTACTTCATCCATCTCCAATCTGCTGTTTCACCAGCAAAATGCTGTGCTTGCTGTTTTGTTCCTTTCCCTTGTCAGTCCTACATCAAGGACTGAGTGTGTATCAACCCCTCAGCCTCCTTCCAGGCCATTCCATACTCTAGTGCTCTATCTGCTCCTCCACCTCTGGCATCTTTCCTGGGCAAGACTTGTACTCACCATTGGTACACTCCTGTCCCTGCAGTTCATCTGCACTGGTCCTTCTGCTCTCCTCTGCCATCCAAGGCTCTCTTCACAACTGAGCTCCAGGAAATGTTGAATTTCTTATATCAGTTGCAAAATGGCATCTCCTAGGCAGAAGAAACGGGCAGTCAGCCTGCTTGGAGAGCCCAAAAAGTCCTTCACATTTACACATGCAAGCTGAGCTCCAGGAAATGTTGAATTTCTTATATCAGTTGCAAAATGGCATCTCCTAGGCAGAAGAAATGGGCTGCTTCTTTAACGTGTCAGCCTGCTTGGAGAGCCCAAAGAGTCCTTCACATTTATACATGCAAGAGGCTGCTGCATGAGCCACTAAATCTCTTGTGGTTGATAGATGGTGAAGCACTTTGGTGTCATGGGGATCTGTTATAATGATATACCTGTTATTACAGTGGGGTTGAGATATCATCTGTCTTGCATCTGCCTCAGAGTGTTTTACTACAACGTTCTACCTACGTTTGGTTTGTAGCTCCTACTTCATCCATCTCCAAGGATTCCTACAGTTTGGCTTCTGCTCCACCAAAAGGGGCTTCACATGAACAGATCTGCCTGACTGCAGTTTGTTTTTTCACCTGGTGAACTCTATCCCAAATGGGCCTTTTTTGGTTTGTGGTTTTCCAGGATTAGCAGCTAGGATGGTACCTTGGTTTTGTCATTGTTGCAATATTTAGTTTAAAAGAGAATATCTATTTAACATGTTACTGTGTTTTAATTTGAGCCCATTGTTTGTTTCTTATTTTTTGTGATTTTTTTTGTTTGTTTTCTGTTTAGCATTTTCCTTGCTTTGTTGTTTCTGGAGGTGAGTTTCTGGGTTCTGAGCATTGTGTTTAAGACCCTCTGTTACATACAACATCTAAACCACTCAGCCTCTTGAACCAAGAGACTGTACAGACCGAAGGGTCTTTAGAACAAACCATTGGTGCAGCTTCCTTGGTGGCCAGAATGGAGGAGTGGGGAGAAGGGACAATTCCACAGACAGTGGATGTGCAAATCACTCTGTCATGCCACTAAAGAGGTGCCAGAGGATGGAAGAGTTGTCAGGCTCCTTTTCTGGGGTCACACGAAGACCCCAGTGCAAACAGGGTTTGATTTTATGTAATTGCCTAACCTGAAACCTTAAACTGCCCACATTTGGGTTTCTCCTCTGCCCTCTCTATTCCAGCCAGAGATGCACCAATGGTCCGTACAAAAGGGGCTGTGATAGGCACACCCAGCCCAGCGTGGGCCAGCAGACCAGCCAGAGAGGGCACCAGCTGTGGCTCACCTGGCACCCAGACCCCATGTATTTTCCAGTGGCCTCTCTTCACCTTTTCTTGGGAAAAGTCTTAAAAATAACACTTACAACCATGAACAAATGCTAGATTAGTAGGAACCAGCTTAGGTAGCTGTGCTGAAGCCATGCTGAGTGGAATTTGTTGCATTTTAATGCTTATGGGGTTTTTCATTCCATGGTGATAAGTTACAGTTGTAGCCAGACCCAAGGAAATTATTTAAGCATAAGTATAAGGTGTGAGTTCTGGATGGGAGAACTTCTCAGATGCAGTGGATGAAACGTGGCTGACAGGAGCAGACCTGAACACAGTCTATAGAACTGCTCACTATCACTTTTTGAAGGTGCACGTGCTTCCCAGGACAACCTTCCCACCTCGAAAGACCTCTTCCTCTCTCCAGGCTCTGACTGGTTTCTGCTGGACCCTCACATGGTTGTTCAAAGCAGCTGATGTTTTACTTGCATGCTCTCAGGTGGATCCTGCCTGTGAACGTGAGCAAGCTGACTCCTCGTTAGAAAAGTGCCATGGGCAAATACAGGTGGCACATCATTTCACAGTGACTTCTCAGAGTCGTCCCTTTTGTACAGCCCTGGGGATTAAGTGGGGGTAGATGCTCTGTTTCTTCAGGACATTTTCCATCTCAGAGG